ATCTCTTTCTTTTGGAGAGACATGGAGCCTTATTGGAGTTTGTGCTGCAGACATGATTAGTTCTTATCTGCATTGGCTGTTTGCTGTTTGTGCAGCTGTCATGGATATACTGAAATGTATTGCTCTATGTCTTCATGGGAACCTGGATCCTGGTGGGGTAATGGCACCTATAACTAGGAATGGCAGGAGGCAGCTGCAGGATCTTAATATGCAGAGTGTGTTTCCAGAAACCTGCACAGTCGGCTCCTGTTGCAGTCATCTGTTGTAAAGAAGTCATTGGTCCAAGGGAAGCAGGATTACAAGGAAGTGAAGGCTGATTGGTACCTCCTCCAACAGTACTTGACTGAGATGAACCTGACTGTTGAAGATGAACAGGAGAAGACCAGCAACCTCCAGAAACAGCAACATCAGGTACGGACAAGCAGCTCATTCAGACTAACCCTGTCTGTTATCATTTGCCATTTGGATCCATCTTTGCATTCATCCACCATCTTTTAAATCCACACTCCCAACCAGCCACCCACTTCATGGAATATAGTTGTTCATTACTTTGTCTATGCACAAGTATTCTAGGAACTTCAACTCTTGGGAGACACTGAATTATTGGCAAGTGTACCTTGCTACTCTGCTTGAAGCTGAAGTCTAGAAAGGGTAACAGATGAATGACAGGTCACACTCTTTCATGTCCTCATGATAGGAGGGTTGCTAAGCAGAGCTTTGAGAAAGTTATATGTCTTGTGACAGGAGTTGTGCAGGGGTCATGTGACCTCCAAGGAAGGCATCACTTTGCAGGGAGTAAAGCCAAATGCAAATATCAAATGAGGGCTTCTCACTGTCAGTGGTCTGGGTGGCATGTGGCCTTCTTCTTTCTCCTGCAGCCCAATGAGGTCTCTTCCCATTGGCCAGGTCTTTGTTTGCACTGATAGAAGTCTGAGTAGCAGCTTATCAGCCCATGTGTTTGTGAGCTTTGCTTGATATTTTGCCCTGCTAGCAGATTTAGCAGCAAGGGTTTCAGTTAAAAGATTAATGTTGAAGTCTAATTGAGGTGGTGGGAGGCAGCAGCTGACATCTGACATGCATGTCCCCACCTAGCCTGTGTCTTCATAACTGCCTTCTTCTACCAGGTCTCAGAAGCTGCAAGAGAGCTGGAATTGGCCACATCCCAGCAGGAGAGCCTCTTGCTGAATGAGTTGCCACCTCAGGAGCCCCCTTCTGAGATCCCTCCTCAACAGCCACAGACTTCTTTGGATGAATCTCCTTCCTCATAGATCATTTCCACAGTGTGAATGGGCCAAACTATGTAGCCAGTGAGACAGCCAGGCTGATCCATGGTCTTTTTCTCTTTCCTGTGTGACCCCTTGAGAGAGAACTGAGGTGACTGCAGTATCACCAAATGCTCAAGAGGAGAAACTGGCTGTAGTCTGTGCTGCTCAATGTGCATTGAGGGAATGTCATCTCACAATTTTTTCTGTTAGAATTTTCGTTGAAATTTTCTTTTGCATGGTTTTGTTTTTTCTTATGTTATTGAGATATTACATGTTCTTGTTATTGGTTTTGATTTTGCTAACGATTTTCACAATTTTTATTAACCTTCATATTAAAACTTGTTTTGTAAATTTGATTTCTTATGAATAAAAATTCGATCTGTAACTCTTGACTCTTTTCTTAAATTTTATTTAACCTTTCTTTTACACTCCATTTTTTACCCCTCTCCATATTCACCCTCTGATGGTTTAACATACTGTTCTGCTCCCCACCTGTCTCCCTGAAAAGGTCCCCGACTACCCTCACAAACACCTACTCCCCCAAACCTCCCCTTTCTTTGGAGTCCTTTGAGGGTTAGGTGCACCTTCTCAGACTGAATCCAGACCTGGCAGTCCACTTTATGTATATGTGTTGGGGGCCTCACATCAGCATGTTTGTACTGGTCAGTTGTTGGTCCAGTGTCTCAGAGATCCCTGGGGTCCAGGTTATTTGAGACTGCTGGTCCTCCTACAAGGTTACCCTACTCCTCAGCTTCTTCCAGCTTTTCACTAAGTCAACTATAGGGGTCAGCAGCTTCTGGCCACTGGTTGAGTGTAAATATCTGCAATTGAGACTTCCAGGTGCTTGTCTGGTCTTTCAGAGGGCAGTCATGATAGACCCCTTTTTGTGAGGACTCTATAGCCACAGTAATAGTGTCAGCTCTCTAGTCCTCCTCTTCAGCTGGGGCCCCCTTGCGGTTGTTGCTGGACCTTCAGCCAGACTGATGAGCATCTCAGGCTAGAACTCTGTCTGGGCTGCCTGTCTCTGGACTGATGGTTGTCTCCCGATTTCTCCTTGCCTGCACCTGCCTATGTTTCCCCATTCAGAAGATATCTGTCTAAGGCTCATTTCTAACCACAATCCATTGTAACAGGCAGGGTTTCTTGTCTGCACCTTGCTTCCCACCACTGATTCCAATCTGGACCTACACAGAACAGGGTCATTTCAGGATTGCTTTTTACAGGATGCTTTAAATTCTTTTTTCCCTCTTAGATAATTTCTTAATTTACATTTCAAATATTATCCCCATTCCAGTTTTCCCACCCACCAACAAATCCCCATATACTATCTGTCCTTCCCCTGATTCTATGAAGTTTTTCCCAACTTCCCACCCACTCCAGTCTACCCTTCCTGCCACTCCCCTACACTGGGGCATCGAGTCTTCACAGGACCAAAGGCCAATCCAAATGATATCCCACAAGAGCATCTTCTGCTACATATGAGGCTGGAGTCATGAGTCCTTCCATGTGTCCTTTTTGGTTGGTGCTTTAGTCCCTGCGAGCTCTGTGTCTGTGTGTGTGTGTGTGTGTGTGTGTGTGTTTGTGTTGTGTTTGATTAATATTCTTGTTCTTCCTATGGAGTTGAGAACCCCTTCAGCTCCTTCAGTCCTGTGTTATACTCTTCATTGTTCAGATGTTCTCAGAGCACAACACTGAGCTTACACATAGCCTCTCTCTTCTCTGCCACCTACTGAGGCACATGAGACACAACTGCCACCCTGCCAATGATCTAGGGACAGACAATGTCAATAATTTAAATCATTAAATGTCAGTGGAATTCTGGTCTGTACGATTGAAGAGTAAAACAACAAAGCCAAAAACTACAACAATGACAACAACAAAACAACTAATATTATTTTCAAAGGAAACACTTATTACCAAAGAATAATTAGCCAATCTTTTATCAAACCTTAAACTAGACCAGGAGATTCCTAAGCTCTGGCCATGTAGTGAAGACTCATCAACATAAAACATAGTTTGATAAGACTACAGAGCAATTGTCTCCAATAGTAGGAATTTTTCAATACTGCTTAGTATTACTTAACCTAAGATCTTAAAGTTTGGAAAATGCTTTAAAATAATGAACGTAATTCAAATTCTCTGAAGAATATTGTTGGAAATTTGATGTGGATTTTACTGAATTTGTATAGATGACTTTGAATTTTTTTAAATTTTTTTTAACATTGCCTAAATCTTTATTTTTCATAATCTACATTTTTTCAAATTAGACAGTTTTACAAAAAAATGACACAAAAGGAGACTTAAATTACCAATAGTTTACATGTAAGCTTGATTCCAGTCTTAATGAAAAGTAGAACAGAAACAGAAACCCTCAGGCAAGCTTTCACATTATACTCCCGTTCTGTGACTTGCAGCTGTTAGGGCTCCTGGAATCTTCGATTGTCTGTTGCTTTCTGTTTAACAGGCTACAAAGCACACAAACCCACAACTACAGCTCACTGAAGGGGACACAAAGACAGGTATGTACCGTCAGTCCCCTGCTGTGACACACTGGACCACTTTTTCAATATCAACTGCAGAAACCCTAATATACCAATATAAGACTTTTTTTTCTTTTTTTTTTTTTTTGTCTTTTTTTTTTGCCATCCACTAGTGGCAACCAGTGATGCAATGACAGAAGGGATTCACAGAGACATCATGACACTGACTACAAGAGAGGAATCACTTGAAATTCATGTCTGGTGAAGTGGGCCCAGATTCCTAGTCTGTATTTCCATATGATAATTAGGCATCATCATACAATTTTACAAGTTAAAAATGTCATTTGTGACTGTGGTATCTCTGATTCTATACCTTGAGATGCTGAAAGTAATGAGTAAACTTAAAAAGTAGATTATGAAAACCACATATCACACTTGCTGTGTGTGACATAGCAAGAGTCTGCATGCACCCTCAACAGCTTCCTATTTTGATAACTTCCATTTTTTTTCTGAGTGGAAAACCTCAAATTGTTCAGGAAGTCTCTGTTCTGACATTTTACAGCTATTTGGCATATCACCTTTGCTTCCTGAAAATGAGTGCTATAAAAATCCCATGTGAGCGAGGCTTTAGTTCCTGGTGCCAGGCTGTCACTGGCTAAGTGGTAATTACAGTGTCCCGACCTCATATCTGTACACCTGGCCTTGCGTGCGGCCACTGAGCTTTACACTTCCAGCCAGAGGCCAGCAAAACTTACAGCTGCCTCTGCCACACAGGTTTCATGCTGCAATGCTCAGCATTGGGGAAGGGACTTCTCATTAAAAATCAAAGATCCTCTGTGAGTGC